CAGATGATGTTCACAAGGCTCCTGACTTTCATTTTGTCTCCCCTTCTTCTACCCCGCTTGTCATTTGGCCTCTGCTAAATATCAAAATCTCTGTTTGATTGAAGATATAAAGATTAAGATGTTGTGACCTCTGTTATGTTCGCAGTCCCCTTTAGATTTATAGAAGTGGGTTGACCTCGTTGCCGCAACTTGGTCTTGTTGTCAGGGTGAGTTAGTAGAACGCACCTAGTCCGAAGTCGTCTGCCATAATAATTGTCATGATTCCCAGCGTCAGACAGTGGACTTGGTACATTCTCAAACGTTTCGCCGGCATCGTAGTCGGCATCGTCAGTGAGCTTTGCCATTCTCAATCCTTTCACCGAGGTTCTGGTGAAAACGGTTACACTATCATTCCTCCTTCTGTCCTGGCCTTTACCCTCTTATCCAACTCCTGTCCTATCACAACTTCTCGCTTGTTTACATTTCTCTCGTCAATATGTGTGGTGCCCTTTTGTGGCAAATCTGGTGTGACCTGAAGTGGTCAACCCACTTCTCTGTTTGATTGTTTGAAATCTGGCTGCCTAAGAGCTTTCAGTTACCCTCCCTGACTACGCCATATTCGAGAATTTAGAGCCGGGTAATCTTCCTCTCTCTATGCTTCATACCCATGAATTGTGTTACATTCTTTGGGGCCCTGTGTCCGGCTTAAGCCCTGCGCAACCGGCACTTGGTACCGGTGGTGGAGATGATTACGCTTCATTAAACTCACTTATAGCGACACACTGTTCGGCAAAATTAGAGGAAATGAGAGCATAAAATTGTGTTAATTGTGTGTAGATAGACCGTATGAAGTGGGTTTGAGAGAAAGAGGTACAAGTCAAAGAGTAGGGATGAGGAGTGATGCCATAACGGTTGAACGGAAAATTGGTCAAGGTTAAGGTCAAAAATTGCCTTCACTTGTCCCTTTGATAAGGTGTAGCTCTGTGGTTACGATGTCGCCTCTCATTGACGATGCCGGCGAAATGATTGGGAATGTACCAAGTCAACGGTCCAATGATGGAAATCACCAATACTGTGTCAGACGGCACAGGATTAGGTACGTTCCACAGGGTCTTCCTGACGCTGCGACTAAGTTGCGAAAACGAGCTCGAACCAACAGTAAACTGTGGCACAAGCCCAAATTGCGTGTGTCAACATGTGCATTTGTGCGTTTGCATCACACAAACAGGCAACAAATCAAGCCTCTCGAGCAACCCGAGTGGCTCGAAAAAGGGCTCTCATGCCTCCGGTACCGACCAGGACGACGAAGACGCTTTCTCGGTTCTGGGCCGCCGACAGACGGCGGTCTCTGTCGATGGTAACTCGACCCCCGAACGGACACCTCGACCGACGTTGGCGTGTATCGGACGGGTGGTCGGCCAGGCACTCGGCAACGGCACGGAAGAAGACGTCGATTGCCGGTTGGGCCTGGCTGCCGAGGCAAGAGGAGATTTCGCCCATACCCGGTTGAAAGGGCGTGTTGCCCACGCCATTGCCGAGACAACTGCGGCCGCAGGAGGTGGCCGTCGAGCCGTCGGTGGATTCGGTCACTACGGCAAACTGCACACGAACAGAGGAGACGGGACGGTAACCGATGGCGGGCATGACGACCTGGAGTCGGAGGTTGACGACGACGAGGAAGAGGAAGAGGAGGAGGAGGAGGAGGAGGAGGAGGAAGAGGAGGATGAGGAGGATGAGGAGGAGGAAGAAGAGGAAGAAGAAGAGACAGACGACGGGATCGCTGAGGTGGACGGCGGCGTCGGGCTGCGGAAGGAGAGGATACAGCAGAGGCAGCGGCGAGGTCGGCGGCGCCGGCGCCGGCTGGGCAAGACACAGCCGAGATCGACTGACCTGCGACCGTGTCTACAGGCGCCGACGCGGCAAGTGACCCCATTTGCTGGTGTCTGCGAGTACCTCGGCTCGGTGAAAGTGCTGCAGAGGCTGGTGGAACCGGATCTGGTGGTGAGAATGTTGACTTACATTTGACTTTTCAGTTGACCTCTCGTGACCACAGCAGATGAGGTCGTGGCAGCTCGACCTGAGCTAAACGAACCGGTAGGACAGACTGTCCGACGAGGGCAGATATTTTGCCGCGTCCAGCCTTCCACGAGGCATCTGCATCGCTAGACGACGGAAATGCCGACTTGTTCTGGAGACTTTAGTCCCATTTCTGCTCGTCCATCATGTCGGGAAACCGGTCTCTTCAAATGGTGTAGGTGGGATGTATCACTTTGAGACGTCCGAGGCACTTATTGCCGCCAGTATGGGTCATTCATACGTGGAATGCACATAGACGGACGAGTAGATTTCTCATAAGTTACCCTCAAGACTATGGAACTTGTTAGACAAGGTCGTCTAAGATGGGTTCGCCCAGAATCTGTTGAGTGCAAAGAAATCATCAGTTCACCGTCCAGTGCCCGGAATCAAACTGTGCTAAGCTTCGCTTGTGTCGCTAAGGCGTAATTGTTTTGAAACAGTACACCCCTCAGTCCATCAATCTCCTAGTCCTTATGGTTTGCATCTGCTAGACACAGACTCCTTATTCTCATAGACTTCATAACTCCTATTTGTACTTTATATGTATGGTTCGTGAAGAGATTGGTGGGGAAACCCGCCTGAGTAGGTTTTATATAAACAACTGTACCTAACTAATTCCCTTCTTTGCTCACTAATACACCCGAAAAGGGCAGTTTATTTTCATTTTATAACCTAATGCTTAACTTAGTGTTTGCATCTATTCCATTTATTAGCTCATGGAATTCCTACAAACTAAATTTGCCGTCGAAGATATGAAGACCAGGATGGTGTGGCCTTTTGTGTGGTCGCAGTCTCCTTTCGTTGCATAGAAGTTGTTTGACCTTGCTTTGGAAACTTGGTTTTATTGGTAGGAAGACTTAGAGGAACGCACCTAATCCGGAGTTCATTGAATGCATGATCATATTCAGAATCGGACCTTGTACGTGGTACATCCTCAGACATTTCGTCGGCATCGTCAGTGAGCCTTGCCAGTCTTAGCAACACACTACAACTCGTCAAAGAGACAAGTGAAGCAGATCCTTTGACCAAATGTCTGCTAAAAATGTGTGGTATCTCTCCTTCTGTCATGGGCCAATCGCCAATCCTATTTCATCGTATCACCCCTTCACTCTCACAAATTTTACTTGCTTATTTACATGTAGTGTGGTGTGCCCTTTTGAGCGGTTCTTATGATAACCCTCCACACCCCACGTTAGCTTTTACATCCCATTTGCACTTGTGCTGGGACTATCGGTCAAAGTCTGTCATGTTGTTAAGCCGTCCCCCTCTCTACGTCTTATCACAGTCTCACTCTTGCCCCGTAGAAACCGTCTGCTATCTCCCTCGTTCAAGTATTTCACTCGACCCCTGCGACCCCACCTGTGTTCCACAAGGTGTTCTTACCCCTCTCCTGCGTCTGGATGACTAATTCGAGGCTAAAGCCTCTGAGTAAGCCTCATGGTTAAACCTTTGCTAATTGTACCACGTCTCTGGTGAAATAGGCCTACTGTCAGCCAACTAGCTCTAGTCACCGCCGCGTCTATCCTGTTTTTAGCCCTAATACCAAGTCTATCACTTCCTAGGCCAACCCACAAACGATATGGTTCAACATTGAACCGGATCAAAGCAAGCAGTACCACAACCTTTGTGGATTGGCACACAAGAGACTAGGGTATAGGAGGTCATAGACTTCATAATAGGGTTAGAAACAGGATAGACGCGGCGGAGACTAGAGCTAGTTGGCTGACAGTAGGCCTGTTCCACCAGAGACGTGGTACAATTAGCAAAGGTTTAACCATGAGAATTTCTCGGGGCCGTTAGCCTCAAGTTAGTCGCCAAGGCTCATAATGTGAGAAATAACGCCTCGAGGAGCACAGGTGGGGCCGGAGAGTTCGAGTGAAATATTTGAACGAGAGAAAGAGCAGACGGATCCTATGGCGCAAGAGTGAGACTGTGGTAAGACGTAGGGAAGGAGGACTGCGTAACAATATGACAGACTTTGATCGACGTTCCCAGCACAAGGGTAAAGGGGGTGAGAAGGCCAGTGTGGAGTGTGGAGTGTGGAGTGTGGAGTGTGGAGTGTGGAGTGTGGAGTGTGGAGTGTGGAGTGTGGAGTGTGGAGGCTTCTCATAAAAGCCGCTCAAAAGGACGCACCACACTACATTTAAATAAGCAAGAAAAAATTGTGACAGTCAATGCGGAATACGAGTGCATGCGAAGTGTGAATAGCTCAGGGCAGAAGGAGAGCAGCCACGATTGTTTAGCAGAGGATCAGCTTCACTTGTCTCTTAGGCGAGTTGTGGTGTGGTGCTAAGAGTGGCAAGACTCACTGACGATTCCGGCGAAACGTCTGGGAATGTGCCACGTCCACGGTCCGATTCTGGAAATGGTCACGCATACAATGGACTCCAGAAAAGATGCGTTCCTCCTAGTTTTCCTACCAATAAGACCAAGTTGCAAAAGCAAGGTCAAACAACTTCTATGCCACGAAAGAAGACTGCACCACACAAAAGGCCACACCATCTTGGTTTTCATATCTTCGACGGCAAATTTAGTTTGGAGGAATTCCATGAGGTAGCAAATGGAATAAATGCAAACACTAAGTTTAGCATGAAGTTATAAAAGGAAAATAAACTGCCGTTTTTGGGTGTATTAGCGAGCCAAGGGAATTAGTTAGGTACAGATGTTTATAGGAAACCTAATCAGGCGGGTTTCCTTACCAATCTCATCTCGAACCATACATATAAAGTAATAATAGGAGTTATGAAGTCAATGAGAATAAGAAGTCCGTGTCTAGCAGATGCAAACCATAAGGACTAGAAGAGGGATGTACTGTCTCAAAACAATTACCCTTTAGGATTAGATAACAATTACACATCAATTGTAATAGTTTGCTATCAGGCGCGAGGTATAAAACTGGACAATTCTACTAGCTTCCTGATTCTGTCTTCCTGTCAGCTTGCGAAAAGGTTGGTTGAATCACTGGGGTAATTGAACATAAAAACAATGTATAAAGAGAAATTAACACTTTCTTGAGCAGTTTCCTTTATTAGAGAATATTCAAACACTCTTTCTAGATCAGGCTGTTGCAAGGTTTTGTGCTCACATGGTGAAGTCTATGAGAGGGAGACCTGTCAACCTATTCAGAAGAGTCCATTCCAACGCAAAACCGCTTGTAAAGGTCTGTGGGCCCAAAAATCTAAGCTCGCTGAGCATATTTTGCCATTACAAGACACTCACTAGACTGGCCCAAGACACGTTTTGTTGTTTACGGGTACTTGACGTAAAAGCGTAATATTAGGGAGTCTATTGAAATTAACAAAGCAGCCAATTTCCCGAATAGAAGGAACGCTGTTAGGATAGGCTTACTTGTCTCTTTGACGAGTTGTTGTGTGGTGCTAG